CCAAATGTAACGATGTACGACAGAACATCAAGAAATTGCAGACCCAACGGGCTCATGAGGATCAATATGATGTTATAACTTCCCTAACTGCAGCGTTCTGCTGTCATTATTACTGTGAAGAATTCATGTTCCCTTCGATCATAAGAAAAAGCATCGGTGCGGCGGTACTTGTTTTTCGTGTCAGGCTTCACCGGCTTGTCCTAATAATGTAGTGAAAATCCCCTGAAGTCATGCAAAAGATCTTTTCGAGGTCAAGTGTGTTTCAAAAATCATAATCGGGATAAAATTTGTGAAAAAATAAGAAGATGCGAGGAATGTTTCAAAATTGTACCAACTAATCGTTCTCACGTTTGCGGAGAGATCTTCTGCAAAATTTGCAACAAACAGTGTCCCGCCGGGCACCTTTGTTATGTTCTACCGGACACAAAAAAGCTTCAGACTGATAATCTCTTGTTCATCTTTCATGATCTGGAGACTCGTCAGGAGAGTATGCAGGACGATGGATCGGTACTTCACGAGCCGAATTTGTGTGTTTTTTACCAATGCTGTGACGCTTGCCTCGAAACCGACCAACAAATTTGCAAAAACTGTGGTGAACGTCTACAAATTCTCATGTGCAACGATCCCATCTCTCCATTCGTTCACCATGTGTTGACCATGAGAAAAAATTTCAAAACAATCATAGTCATCGCCCACAATGGAGGAGGCTTTGACCATCAATTCATTCTGAATTATATTTTAACACAAACTGACCTAACCCCTGATCTAATCATGCGCGGGAGTAAGCTCATATCAATGACCGTCGAAAATGTAAAATATTTGGATTCTCTTAATTATTTCCCAATGGCTTTGGCAAAACTCCCCAAATCTTTTGGATTTTCAGACTTGAAGAAGGGATACTTCCCGCTTCTTTTTAACCGTGTGGAAAATCAGAATTCCCTCTCTTGAATTTTATTCTCCGGATAATCTTGTTTCAGGGGCACGTTCTTCCCTTATAAAGTGGCATTCGGAAAGAGTCGCTGAAAATTATGTATTCGATTCTTCTCGAGAAATCATAGATTATTGTATTTCGGATGTTGATATCCTGACCAAAGCCTGTTTGAAATTTCGTGTCAACTCATGTTGACTGAAACGAATGTATGTCCATTCACGGAATCCGTAACGATTGCCTCAACATGCAATAAAGTATTTCGCAGGAATTTTCTCAAGCCAAATACCATTGGTATTATTCCCAAGGGTGGTTATAGACGTCGTAATAATCAGTCTGTGGTAGCCATTCAATGGCTGCTTTGGGAGGAAAAACAGCGAAATATCAAAATTCAACAAGCATGTCGTTATTCTGAGGCACTCGTTGGCAATTTCAAAGTTGATGGTTGATGAATCACATATTTTGCTTCGTGATGGAGGATAGCCGTCAATTTGGTAAGCTCTTCTATCGATTCAAGGGACTTCTTCATTTTTGGATTTATATGTTCAGGGTAGTATGGCAAGTCTATGTGCGAATCATGTAGATTTTTAAGATACTCCAGATCAACTTCAGGCATATATCCCAAATCGTTCTCATCGGGTATTCATTAGACGTCAATATTGGTATTGCACCACTTGGACCCATCATATGTCAAATAATGAGGAGACGTCGCCCACCCATATTGGTTGTTTAGGTCGCTTGTTTATGTGTCAGGATTTGAAGGGTCATAATTGTTCAAATATATATTGTTCGCATGAGCTCTTGTCTTCGAAAAAACTTGGCTAAGCCCACCTTGAATCTCTCGTTCAACCTGGTCTGGTAGCGTACAGTAGTGGGCAAGACAACTTGCACGAAATTGTTCGAATACGTCAGCGAGGAGCAGGATATCTGTTTTCATAAATAAATCCACATATTGACCGAAAGTCTGACAACTGAAACTCTTCCACACATCTTGGTTTCGCTGATATAGTCTGCGAGGGCAAACCTTCTAATTTGTTGTAGAAGACATCAATATGAGGCAAGCAAGCTTCATCAGATCTATCGAAGAAATCAATATGAGTAATTTAGCCAAGTCTTCAGGTAACTCAGAAAACTGAACCTCAACATTGGGAAACTTGATATTGAATATTGAAAATTTGAATATATTGTGTACACAAAGAAAACGTTAACGAAGCGTGAAAATGTCGTTTTCTCTATTTCAAAACCCCTCGTATTCAACAATTTCATAAAGCGGTGAAAAAAATAATGAATATTACCATCTGAAGTGTATCGTAACGAACATCCCCCAGAGGGCGTAACGAGTGAATTTAATGGTAAACTTCGTTACACGTTACTGACTCATACTTTACATCAGTTGATAAAAGCGCTCGGGCAGCTCAGTTTTGTCATTCTGTTACAGATATTCGAACATTCTGAAGAAATTCAATCATTTTATTTAAAAAAATGCTGCTCCTTGCTGAGTTGGTGCAGCATATCTCCTTTATTTTGGGGTTGATGACCATAAAGTTTAATGGAAAAACTGCTTTAAACGCTGAATATCATTAACACGCCAATTTTTTTCTCAAAAACGTAGCTCTCAATACGGTGGTGTTACCTACACGCCTCTCCTTGGAAATGCAAACCTTTTGTATTTTTTCTTTGTCAATATATTTTATACTAATTTCCATCTGATTTGATGTGTTGCACGCCACGCGGCTATTATTAACAAAGAAACGGGAGCTTACTGTCCTTCTGACATGTTCACACGCCATCTATGTTTTTTTTCATCAGTCATGTCCTGATGATACAAAATCTCGTATTGAATGTAACTGACTGATATTGTACAATTATTCATACACGAAGACGAATGAAACAACTTGCTATTCTGATACGTTGTGCCATCTTAGTTTTTTTTTTTCGATGAATTCTGCATTCCTTTCCCTTCCATTTGACGTGATGTACGTGATGATCCGATTATTATTAACGACTTAGTACCCTCTTGGCATCGTCTTTTTTTGTCGATACATTCTGCGTTCCTTTCCCTTCATTAGACGTGCCGCACATGACAAGCAGACTATTTAGTGTTCTTCTGACATGTTGCGCAATCTTTGTTTTTTTCTTCGTCGATGATTTCTGCATTCCTTCCCTTTCCATTTGACGTGCTGTACGTGACGATCCGATTATTATTAACGAAGATACGGCTTAGTGTCCTTCTGACATGTTGTGCCATCATATTTGTTTTTTCTTTGCCGTTGAATTCTGCATTCCTCTTCCTTCCATTAGACGTGCTGTAGGTGAAGATCGGAATATCATTACCGAAGATGCGACTTAGTGTCCTTCTGACAACATATTTGTTTTTTTTCCTCTCCCCCTTTCATTTTATATACTGCACGTGGCGATCTGACTATTATTACCGAAGATACAAGTTAGTGGCCATCTGACATATTTTTCTTTTCCTTTCATTTGATTTGCTACACGTGACGATGCGACTATCTTTAACGAAAATACGGTTTAGTGCCCTATTGACATGTCACCATCTTTAATTGTTCTCTACTCCACACTGACGTCATCACTTTCTCCCTCATATACACATACATATTGCATCGTATAACTCTTGCACACGTCACACCTACATCGACTGGGGTGTTCTACAAGGTCCGCTCGGAGGTCCGAAAATGATTAAAATGAAGCTCCATAACCGGCATCAAGTGCACCAAGCAGAAGCAATAAACCAAGAATGACAGCCTTCCGCATTTATCCGGTCACAATTTCTGTCTGCGGATAGCCGGAATGATCTCGAGATTTGAGAGTCGGAAGACACGCCTGAAAAAGCTATTGTAAAGTGAAAATCTCTCACAATAAAGTGTTTCTTGAATAGAACATTTTTCTATCAAGAACTCTTGGTATTTCATCCGTTTTACCTCCTCTTTCCAGACGATATTCGTTCCACCCAGATCTGAAAACTCTACGAGGGTGAGGAAATAATCTTTTGAGATGGACTTTTGCATATTTCTCTATCACGAATTTCATACCGATAGCATGCGTGTTCTTTTCCACCACACTCAAAAGCCGATGGAGATCCTCTTCTCCAAAGGCATACAGTTTTCAGATCATTCTTATAGAATAAATAGATGCCCTCATTGAAAATGAAGAGGACTGAGAAAAGCGCTCTAAAATACACTCCTTCTTCAAGTGATCCACTGTTTAGACTATAGCCTGAACATATATTATGGTGAAGCGAGTCCGCCATAGTAGTATCAATTGTTCGAAACATGTCACTATTTTGTCAAACACCGCTAGGCTAATGCAAGATGAGCTCATGTTATGCTGTATCAAATGCCATGAATTTAGGCTTGCTGTCGGTCTGAAATTCTTAGTAATCGACAAATCTCAGTTTTGGGCGATAAAAACGGTTCACTCCTCTTGAACGACGTCCGGGAATATTGTGTTGTTGAGCTCAGGCTGTCGAAGGTCTCTGCTGAAAGCTTTGAAATATCTAGGACCGGAGTATCTAAGTTGAGCGCAGTCAACTACAAGTATTCATGAATGACCTTCCAGAACGGTTCCACCTGATGAGCAGTTGGTGGATTATCCAGACAAAAACTTCTTGCCCGCTTCACTAGTAACTTTTTAGCAGCAGTGCTTTTCCGTAATCAGCAGCACGTCTTGACTCAAAGTGTGATGTATATGTCGTATGTCGATTTTAAACAGACAGATTTTTCAAACAGCAGAAGCAGGAATGACAGCCTTCTGCATTTGTTCGGCCAAAATTTCTGGTTTAGTGAGGCAAGCCGGCATAACATTAAGATTTAAGATTAGAGAGGGTATTATTCTACCAAGGACTTCAATAATTGAAACAACCATCTTAACAGAATGGTCTGGATAGAGTCTGTGGAGTTGCAAGAGGAAACCTCGATATTTAACTATTATTATCATTGTCAACAACATTATTAATACTGGGACTGGCAAGAACTTAATTTCTTGTAAACCATTAACAATAATTTCAAAAAAATTTCTGAATATAAACATACCTCTCCACTGCTCTTCTACATACCTATAAACACTTTGGTCATAAAATAGTAAAATTCTCAGGGACTGATCAGCGCTTCTTTTTCTTATGACATGTTCCGATTCAATCTTTGTGTGAAGAACCTGCAACAAAATGAAAGGCTAATAAAATCTTACGAAATATGGGACATAATTGGGACTTCGTTGGCTGAACATAAAATTCGACTCTCGAATAACAGTCCATTAGTTGCTGGATTTGGATATAATATAATAATATAAAGTCACGTATAACAAATGTAGATGATCTTCCAAGTGTAGGCCCTGAACAAGCAATAAACTATGCCAATCAACGCACATAATTTATAGTTATAAGATTTTCTGAGGAGCGGCTAATACAGAATACTTTTTTTTTCTCTTTGGTGATTAAATTTTGGAAACATTTCCCTACGCAAAATCATTAATTTCTGTTTAAACTCGTTACAGTAAATTGTATTTCAGAATACAGGGTATGTAATTTTTTATGCTCATTTGAATGTAAGATCTCTTCTTGCACACATCAATAATTTGAGGAATCTGATGTTATCGTCTGGCATCGATATTCTTGGTGTTAGTGAAACTTGGCTGAATAGGTCTATTTCCAATGACAATGCCAATATTGATGGGTATCAATTTTTCAGTGCTGATAGAGCGACCAGGGGTGGGGGAATTGGTATTTACGTTAGAGAGGCATTGGAAACATCAATAATTCAAACATCGAATGACATTGAGCAAATTTGGATCAAAGTAAAACTGGTATTCGAGTCATATACAGATCTCCACAACAAAATTATTTGGATTTTTTTAACAAATTTCAAACTGTACAATTAGTACAACTGTTGATGAATTTTTTTGTCTAGGTGATTTTAAAATCGATCTGGTTGATTGTGATAACAAAAGCTCAGAGATTGCAAATGATACCTTTGAATTTCTGGGGCTGAAACAAATGATAGACGAACCGACCCACATAACAGATAAGTCAGCCACATTATAAGACTATGTACCAGTGAGTAATAAAGATATTGTACCAGAGGTGAATGATAGTTTTTGCTACAATGAAATTGAAAACAAGAATTTCGACATCACGTCTTGTTACTACTAGAGACTTCAAACATTTAAACTATCCTTTATTTTATTCACATTTGAAATCTATCCCATGGAGAATTATTTATGAACTGAGTGATATAGACAGCAAAGTTGATTTTTTTGTCGATAGCATCACCACACTCTTAGATATACATGCACTTACAGAATCACCAAACTTTATGCTCCTTGGCTAACAGATACAACTGAACTCATGATGAAGGATAGAGATAAGGCACAAGTATTCTTCAAAAAATCTGAAAATTAACTGATTTCACTCATTACAAGCAAATGAGGAATATGGTAACCTTAGACAAACAAAATTTGGCTCACTCTCAAAAGTTTGATGAGCTTTGGACAAAATAATTCTAGTTTACCGGAACAGTTGAATGATACTGATACTATTGATACATTTCATCAACAATATACTCAATCTCGAACCTGATGAGGATATTATTGAATATTATGAAAATAATCTGAAAAATTCAATATTCTCCTCTTTGAACTTTGAACAAGTCAATGAGACAAATATTTAATATAAAAAAAAAAATTGAAAAGCACAGCAACACATACGGATTGCATCAATATTTCAGCGTCACATCTTTGTACTCCATTTTTACTGACACACGTTACACATCTTATCAATTACCGTCTGAAAAACAAGCTCACATTATACCTCTGCCCAAAAATTCAAATCTTACCAGCTTAAATGATATCAGACCAATTAGTATATATCCCACTTATTCAAAAACATTCATCGAAAAACGATAGTATTCAAAATAACCAATCTGGTTTTAGGCCAGGCCATAGCTGCATAGCTGCATTACTGATGACATAATTGATGCTACTGATGAAGGAAAAGTATCTGTTTTGATATTACTAGATTATTCCAAGGCATTTGATACTCTCAATTATAGAATATTACAAGCAATTTTCAATTTTGTAGCGATCAGCAGAAAAGCTACCAAACTTCTTAATTTTAAATTTGAGAGAAATCTTGCACATGAGAATGACATTTTTGACATTGAATAATGTTAAAAAGTATTCCACATTATTCTATATACAGGTTGTCCCATATAAAACTCCACGGACAAATATCTGAAAAATGAGAGAGAATTTCCATATTTCGTGAAGGCAGATGATTTTGATGTCAAAGGGTCTTCTTATTTGCGAAGAGATCCAGCAATAGGGGTCATCCATTAGGGCGTCGCGACACCGACGCCAATTTTTTTAAATGGCAACCTAGATTTTCCGATTAGATTAAATTCTGAATTCAGCACACTTGTAGTTTTCCTTGAATACTGATGAAAAAAGGCAATTTTATTGCATATTATGAAGAGGGCCATGAATAAGTCGAAATGAATGTAATAATACGAGTTTAATAAAATGAATCCATCAGTTATGATTTCGTTGTCTGTTCAATTTTATCCAGTTGCGTATTTCTGTACAAATTAAAAAAAAATGCCTCAAATTACCAAAAAATTTGTTACTTTGACCATAACTCGACTAACATGATGGTAACAAAATCAATTACTGATAACAAGAATCATTTTAGTAAGTGTTCGAACTGCCTCCCTTCACGTAGAATACACACATTGCATCTTTTTAGTAATTCCCGATTCGTGACAGCTGAAAGCGTCTCTATCGTTATGGAAGCACAAACATTTCTGATACAATTTTTCAAATCAAATGTGGAGGTTCCCCATCTTGTTGAAACCACATATTCAGTCGAGTTTGTATTGGTAAATTCTCCAAGAGATTCAGCGACACGTGTTGTAGAAAAACCAAGTACCTCTCCCCATTGACAATCCCTTCGAAAAAATGAGGTCCTGTCAAATAACCATGAATGATTTCACACCAAACATTAACCCGACACACACACCGACTGAAATCTCGTTTCTTGCCCCACTGAGGGTTCACGACAGACCAATAGTAACAATTATGTTTGTTTATTATACCGTTGTTATGGAAACGGCTTTCATCACTCCATAATAATTTTTTCAGAAACTGATCATCATCATGAATACGGGTGGACAACCATGCAATGAAGTTCAATCTTCTATCAGCATCTCCTGAGTATGGGAATATATTTTAGTTATTAAAAATGAAACATAAAGATTATTACCTGGATGTAGTCTTCGAACCAAATGTATTTTATATGGATGAAATTTGTTTTTTGATAAAATACGTTGTATTGACGATTTCGAAATGTTACAATGCATTGCTACAAATCAATACACACTTCTAGAAACAGTAAACCTAGAGAAGATCCAACACAAAGAATAGTACCTGATGTAACTCAAATACAGGCAAATTTACCTAAATATCCTGGAGTACCTGTATTGAGGCGTTCGGACCGTATAAAAGGACATACAACAGGATGACACGTTCAGTTTGAGTATCTAAAATTTTGACGGATAGAACTATGTTGAACTGGTTTCCGGGTATTTGATCCGTGTAAGTGATATTATCTTTAATCTCACCAACGTTTCGATAAAATCTCATTTGTCATTATCTAGGTGTGCTGTTACGTGTTCGGAAGTCAGTTGACCCTACTCGAATTGACCCTACTCGAACCGATCCCTACTATACTCGTAAAATGGTGTTTGTTACGTGTTCGGTAGTAGAATGTCCTTAAACGGTATGCTACCTACTATTTAACTGTTGTTGCTTTTTTACCTGACTTCTTCTTCTTCTCAATTAACCTCTTCTCCCCGTGAAGGTATGAAAATGTTAAATCTAAAGTTCTCACGGATAGGACTATGTTGAACTGGTTTCCGGGTATTTGATCCGTGTATGTGATAGTATCTTTAATGAGCATAGCATTTATTATTGCCCAAGTTTCTTAAGGCTATCAATGAAGGACAGAATTTCTAAAATTAGGCAACTCAAATTATGCGAATTCATAAAAAATTGTCGAATTACCGAAGATTAACGTCATTTTGGCATACTCAAATTGTCGCAAATTGATGAACCCTTCTTCTTGTCAATAAAGATTTCTCAAAAGAAATCTTTCGTGATTGATGATATCAGGTTAAACGAGAGTAAACAGTTGAAGAGGGAGTTATTGAGTCTAAATCCCTTCTTAGATAAAAATGGGCTACTTAGAGTTGGCGGACGGTTGACCAATTCTAACTTTTCCTATGACAAAAAGCACCCAATTCTATTTTCCCCTCAACACAATGCAACAAAATTAATTCTTAAATTTGAACATAACAGTCTTTTACATGCAGGGCCTCAATTATGCTGGCTAATATTCGCGAAAAATTTTGGCGTATTACTAGAAAAAACTTATCTATAAAGATTGTCCGACCTTGTGTTAAATGTTGCAAATTCAGTAACCAGCCAATCCAACCCATAATGGGCAATTAACCAAGTTCTAGATTGATCCTGCTCTTTCTTTCAGTAAGGAAGGCGTGGATTACGCAGGGCCTGTTTTGGTTAAAGATAAAAAGGGCAGGGGTGCCTACAACGGAACGAATTTCATAGGAGGAAACAATGAATTATAACTTTTAGGTGGATTTTTGATAGAAAAATCAGTAAACATTTCAGACCCAGCTATAACAATGTATATAAATTGGCATTTTATTCCTGCCAATTCCTCTCATTTTGGTGGCATACGGAAAGCGGGAGTGGAAAGCGTCAAGCATCACCTGAGAAGAATTCTAGTCAATGTAGCTCTAACTTACGAAGACCTCCAAACCTTATTGGTTCAAATCGAGGCTGTATTAAATTTCCGTCCTCTAAGTCCTATGTCCTCATAACCTAATGATTTCAACCCCCTCACCCCCGCTCATTTTTGGATAGGACGATCCATCCAAGGTATTGCTGATTCATTGTTACATGAAGTACCAGCCAGCAGACTTTCGCACTTTCAACATTTACAAAGATTGCAGCAAACCTTTTGGGATAGATGGAGTCTCGAATACATAAACGAGATTCAACAGCGTTCCAAATGAAACAAAGCCAAGGACGGACTCAGGTTGGACAATTGGTTCTTGTGAACGATAATAGTTGGCCT